TTAGTATATTTTGGTTATTATTTTGGAAGAATTTTGATACTTTGAATTGTATTTTCAATATAGAACTTTCTACTTCCTCTAGAGCAAAACGTAGTCAAATGGACGAATTTTGGAGTAATTCTAGTTGGAGGACATTCGTGAGTCAGTTAGCTTGATCATGTCAAAATATCATATTTTTCCATCAGGCGGTTATTTTATGGAAATAGAATAAAGTAGTAGTGCGCGGTACTGGAATAGTGATGTTTTGGGCTTGAATTACGTTTTTAGAGCCCAAGATGACCTCAAATGGGTTCGTGGCCTTCTGGAGATGTGTTCAGAACGTCCCGCTCTTCAAAACAAGCTATCATGGGCCGGATTTGGAGGATATTTGAGACTAAAACGTGGCTGGACAATTACTTGGCAGATTTTCCTAGCTTAATTAAGATTTTATTTTCTAAGATATTTTATTATTATTCTTAGTTTCCTAGCTGGAATAAAGGACCTGGTTTTTAGGGTTTGTGCGATGGCATAGCAACATATATTGTTTTGCCGTCCACAATTTTTCACTACGCTTTCTTTTATGCAACTTTGGAGACAGAGAGAATTGCTAGGGTTCTTTGAGATTTTCTACTTTAAGGTGTTTTCAATCATTTTCTTAATAATATTTTCTATGCTTTTAATTATGAATATGTATAACTAATTCCTTTTGCTAGGGCTAAGCCTTGAGCCTTAGCATGAATATGTGATTTTTATTTAATTACTTATAATTGATTGCATGCACACTTGAATTTTTAATCACCGTGATTAAAACTTGTTGGAAATGTGCCCTAAAACCAATCATATGATGATACTTTACGGACATTTCAAATGTTAAACTAATCTAGTTTAACATATAAAGGGCAAAGATTATTGTTTGAGCCGTCTCATATAAATGTTATATGCTTAAACGATAAAGTCCAAGGAATATGTGATTGAGAGAATGCAATCTAATGAAGTTAGATTAATGAGACCATTCTTTCGTAGACACATCCTAAATGTTCCTGATCATAGGATTACCAATTGGGCATTGACAGTCCGTTAAGATCAGTACGTACTGTGTCTTCTCTCAGGGAGAGTGACTAGTCTCGAGTCATTGGTGTGTGTGACATCAAGACAAGTACGTAGGTGCTCAATAAGAGAATGAGTTCACTGAACGTGATCAACGAAGAGTTCTTATATTCCATGTCACATGAGAACTCATGGTTGGGATAATGCAAAGTAGTCCTTTGACCTGAGGCATCACAGTTGTCTTGTGGTTAAGTCCTTAATCTTTGATTATGTCTAATTCACCCCCTCGGGGTGTCACGGCATCGTTGGGGTTAAAACCACTTAGCTATGGAGACAAGTGAATGCGCAACAAGGGATCTCTAACCTTCAAACAGTTGAGGGAGAATACTCTATGATATGATTTGGAATCTCTGGCCAGAGTATGAATGAGATTGGGGAATGCGTTCCAAATCACATTCAAGGAAATCATATAAGCAAACGATTCACATTGGATAGTAGACATGAGTAAATAAACTATCATACCAAACAATGTGGTCAAGAGTATTAGATTAGAGAAGGACCGTATTGCATTTGTAATCCCGAACTGAATAGGTTCTCCACCTCTTCTGATTAGCTTGGGTAACCATGATATGCTGCTAGGGGTGTCACTCATGGTTTGTGGAAGCCCTAAACGTGTGTAATCACTAAAGGGAGAATTGAAAATAGTTTCAATTCACAATCGATGTAAAATGGTTTTAATCGCCCACTACCTCGCTAAAAGGAACCTAATGGATCGCACACCGTAAAAGGTAGAGATTGGAGATTAAACGGAAATGAGTAAGAATGATTAAATGGTTTAATCATTTTAATTATGGCAAGGATTAATTAATATGTTAATTAATCAAACGAATAAGTTCGTTAAAGACTTCGGGATAGTTTTGGACCTTAAGGCCCAATGGGCTTCGAACGTCAAGCCCATTAACTTAAATTGTATGACAATTTAATGAATAAAGATTCATTAAAGCCCAAAAGCCCAAACATCCCTAAATGGCCGGCCATATTAGATGAATTAGGGTTTTGGTTGTTTAGGTTACTTAAAGAAGTGACTATATAAATGACTTTATAGCCAAAATTCATTAAGGAAAAATTAAGGGTTTATTTTGGGGAAAAAATTGGTGAGAATTGTCTCTCCATTTTCTCTCTAAAGAGGCCAACACCTTGGAGGGTACATCTAGCAATCCTACTACTCCAAGGTCACTCATTTCTTCTACAATCAAACCTTGGTGAAGAGACTTAGAGGTTCCCTATTTTGGGAACTTGGAGAAACCTATTTTTCCATCCAAATCCATGGATCTAAGAAGCAAGGAATGAAGGCCCTATCTCTTTGGGTGATTAGCCTTTGCTTATGCAAAGAGAAATCTACAAAGGTAATAATTTCAACTCACTTTGTTTTGAGTTGATTATTGGTTCACCAATCTACTAGGCTTGAATTTCATGGTAATGTTTTGTTTTTGAGTGCATGCAAGCATGATTCCGCCTTTAATTGTTAATTGCATGCTATATGATGTTGCTCAAATGAACATGTTTTTCAAAATAATTCCTTCAAAACTATCTAATTGTTTTAATACCTGATCACCATTAGGATCTTTAGACAAGTAATTTGATGCAATTTTGGTCGAAAGGTTCCCTAAAATTGGTGATGGCTTCTTGTGATTAATAATTGTAATTTCACTTAAGATGAATATCACGTCTTAATGGTTGCATGGTTTTTCAAAGGCTTTTCATAAAGCATAATGAGTCTCTCATGTTCAGATTTGATTCGAACGTCCGGACGGGTTGCATGTTAGATATATGTTCTATGTTGGAGGTTCCAAGTAGAATATAAATTAGGAAAACCTCACCTTCAATGTGGCATGTGTAGATCATAAGTAATTGGTAAAAGTTCATAGGATTGCTAGGTGATGGTGGAACCCTAGTGCTTTCTTAATTTGATTTCTCCAAAACTGGTTCCTTTTTCTTCATCTTTAATGTTGCATATTAGTTTATTTTTATTAGTTAAATTCGTTTTTATTAAATTAGGTCATAAAAATCAATCATCTCAAATTTCTATTTTACAATAATCAATTGGAATTTGGTTTGCTTCGAATTATTTAATAATTCCTGTGGAGAACGACCTTGCAATATCTGTTTATACTACAATAACCTTGTCATTCTTGCAAGTAATATAGGAGTTTTTATCCTTACTTTTGTAGGTGGTAAAAATCCCTATCACCTATGTTAGCAAAATTGTCCGCAACAAGATTTCCTTTGCTATATATGTGAGATGTGTAAAAAGTTATTTACCGAATGCAATCCAAACAAATAAACCATTGTGTACGAAGAGGCCAAGAAGGATCAAAATCAGACGATTGAAGAGCAAAAATAATACTACAATTGTCACTTTCCAACCAAAGACCAACCAAAGACAATGTCAACCCCGCTGATATGCAAACTCTACACCAATAATAATTGTTGATAACTCTACAAAAAAAAAAAAAAAATTGAGATGACCAATCCATTGACAGAAACCTCTAAGAAAACGACCATGGCAATTCCTGAAAAATCCTCTACAAGCAGTAAGACCAGGATTTCCTTTAGACAAACCATTTGTATTAAGCTTAACCCAAGGAAACCAAGGATGAGACCAAATGACAAGAAGAATAGTAGGCGCCTTGCGAGGGATAGGTCGAATCCCCAAAGAAGAAATGGTCCGAGTGTCAAAACCCTGAGAGTAACAGGAATAAACTTCTCACCATGAACAATCGCATAATTGATAGATATGCAAAGACGATGAAAATAGATTGGACGACCCTAAAAAATAAACTTAGTTCAAGCCTTCCAAATAGCTGAAATAGTAGAAAGACCTGTAAAAATCCATAGATTGTGCAATTGTTTGAAAAAGAGCTTACAGACGTAGACATCCCAAAAAATAGGAAAAGAATATGAAAGAGGCAAAGAGGTACCAAATTGACATGCTAACCACCTCCAAAGTTGCCTAGATATCCGACAGTCGAAGAAAAGATGAGCAGTAGATTCTTTAGAATTATGACATAAACAACAAATGGATGCCAAAGAAATACCATTGTAGCGCACCCTCTGTAGGAAGTTTATCATGAAAAAGCCTCTAGGCCAATATAGATAGTCATGGCAGAATAAAATGTTGCCAAATAATTGTAGCCCAAGCACAATCACTATGTCTCATTCGAATACGGTGATAACCAGAAGAAAAAAGAAAACTTCCTAGTAAGTGAGGGCTCCCAAATCAATTTGTTATCCTCAATATTTAAAGGCAAAGGCATACGTAAAATCTGTTGCGCCATAGAAGGGAATAAATTTATTGAATAATCTGGCAAAGAACAACTTTGTGCTTCAATAATCTGAAATCCGAGGAAGAACCTTAGGAGAAATGACCGAAAATAAAGAAGGGCTAATAAAAAGATGGAAAAGACAAGCCCATGTTAACATCTGAAACCCGAGGAAAAACCTTAGGATTACAAATAATACAATGGGTTCTTTGTGATCATACGTATTTATAAGTACATGTTGTCCTACTGAAGAGACAGCAGCATAAATATTAGAGATTGTAAGGTTATGCACAACTGGTGTTTCTACAAGTACGTGAAGATGCCATTGGAGTTGGGATGAATGCACAGGGAAACGCACGAGAGAGGCTTTCCACTCACGCAGTGCCTTATGCTCAATACTAGTGATAGGTGTAGTGATCAAGTGAATGTATAAGCTTGTGTGCTAGGTCTAGTGATCGACCGTATAAGCTTGTGAGCAGGAACGTCCCTTTAGCATATTCCTAACTGAATTCCAGCTATCAGTCAGTGCCCTAATAATCTACATGACTAACAGGTTGTTTAACCACAACCTAATCACGTCACCCTAATATCCTATAATCAAGGAAATCAGTTCTTCCACACGGTTCTTATCATGATCTGAGAGAGTCCAAATAGAAACCTAATAAATCAGTACATTCTTTGAAATTTGAGGAAACACGTTTTAATTTGATTCTAGAAGACGCTGAAAGATAAATCAGTAATAATATTATACAAACCCTCTCATAATTCCTATGGCTACAGCCTACAGCTCTGCATTATTCCGCATCTACTAACTCAAGATAACTCAGTATACAAAGAGCAGAGTTCACAAGCTGTACGTCACTTGGAAACCTCTTCAAGCTTAATCAACCTCTTCAATCTTAAGGTCCGGCTCCTGATCCACCACCACAGCTAGCGTTTCCACCTCCAGGCATCCGAGCACCACCGCCCATTGGCACATCCCCACCAGCACCTTGATACATTTTGGTAATAATCGTGTTGCACAATCCCTCCAACTCCTTTTGCTTATCCTTAAACTCCTCCACCTCAGCCAACTGGTTCCGGTCTAGCCACTCGATTGCCTCGTCAATGGCCTTCTCCATCTTCTGCTTGTCAGCAGGATCTAATTTTCCAGCGATCTTCTCATCCTTGATGGCGTTCTGTATGTTGTATGCGTAATTCTCGAGGGAGTTCTTGGCATCTACCTTCTTCTTCACCTCCTCATCTTCAGCCTTGTACCTCTCTGCCTCCTGCACCATTCTCTCAACCTCTTCCTTGCTCAATCTTCCCTTGTCGTTGGTATCGTTGGAAATTATATATTATAGTATAAACTATTGTAATATATAATTTTAATAATTGAATGAAAAATAGTGTTAACCAATTTCTTAGAAAGGTTATGTTGTTTAGATGTATTCCCTTGTTAAGTGATGTATACTTATAGATGAAAAGTTACATCTCTTTATTAGTTGAAGTTGGGTTCTATATAAACTCATGAAACCATTATCATTAAGATACAGAAAAATTAGAGTTAATTTTTACTCTTGAGAAAATAGGGTTTCCCCACTTTGTTTGTCTCATGCTTCGTGTGTCAAATTCCGAGTCGTGTCTTGAGAGTACGAAATATAAAGTTCGCCAGAGTCCGAAGATTGAAGTGCTTTGACTTCGGATTATAGATTGTTGAATTCTGGAAGATGGACGCCTATCGAACTACAAGCACAAGAGTAGGGGCGAAATTCTGTCTTTAGGACATTGCATTTATGCAAGCCTCAATTTCCAAGTTTGTCAGTTTTTCTATCTTTATCTCTAGTTGTTTATATTAATCTCATATATAATTGATGTTGTGAATTTCTTTATGATTATTATCATTGGAATTATATTGTTATTTTTCATATTTTCTAATATTGCTCCAACAATCTAAAGATAGAAATTTATATCTCTTTGCAATAATTAGAAAAATATGAAAAATTCTCATAAAGCAGTGGCTAGATATTGGAAATAGAATATGTTGTGTTTGACGCAAACCCTAGCCCTCTTTGAGAAGGAAGATCGCTACATCTAATGATGAAATTGAGGCATGAATCCAATTTCAATAGAAAGATTTAATTTGATCATTGGGCTAGATGATGGGTTGTAGATTGTATATATAGTATACAAAACAACAAAAGATCGTTCTGGGAATTATTGATGATAAATGTCATACTGCAATACTTGAATTAGAATAAGTCTTGTGAATTTGGTAGTTACAATTGCATACATTTTTTCTTAATTTTCATGGGAAACAGTTTTCTCAATTTAGTATGATCATTTTTCCAAGCAAACAGAACTTGATTTGGCTTGTGGGTTTTAATTTTCTCGACAACATTGGTCATGCACTTCTTTGAAATCGATTGTGATTTTCTCCTGTTGTGCAAGTAATGATGGCACAGAAACGTTATACTAATATATATAACCTGCATATATGCATTTTATTTCCTGACATTACACTAATTAAATTCATGTATTTGTTGACAATGAGTTTATTAATTTCAATTCTCTGAAATATGCATGCAAAAGGATAAAGGTTTTGTTTCACAACGTTGGTTATAGTAGTCTCAAGTGTGCAACGGTTTTAAGATTGGTGTGTAGGAAAAACCTATCTTCTGAAAGGATGCGTTTTTTAGTCTGGGTAGATTTACCTTGCATTTCGCATAAGATACTTATCTTTGGCACTGAATATTATGTTAAACGTTATGTGCTACCATTGGAATGATTGCATTTATAGTAATGGCCTTTTATTCATGTATGTTGTTCGATCTCGGATATTGCTTAGAGATTTATACATATGATGTTATTATATTTGGCTGTTTGAATGGTTGTGCTAGTACATCGGTTGCATTGCAATGAAAGGTTGGCTGCCAACCCAATGGGTAATCACTGAATGTTGTCATTTCCTCATGAACCGGTATAAAGATAGTGTGGCGATGAGGATGTGACCCTTTGGGTTTTCGTTGCTTTACAAATTATTATGATTTAAGAACACAACTTTTCTTGTTTTAAACAAATGAACAGACATGACTATCCAAAGGTTAAAACATTTGGTCTTTGGAAAGGAAAAGACTAGACATTAAAACGTGGGATATTGGAGAAAAAAAAAATGTATTTGAATTCGACATAATGATGCTTATTAAGTAAGCATATGAATGGACATGGCCATTGGGTCATGCATGTTAATCATAGTAAGGAAAGAATCAAAGCCAAGAAGTGATTTTTCTCATAATTTAGTGAGGCATGAAGGCCAAAAAAGATAGATAGAGTCTATCTTAGTTGTCCCTTATTTCTTAAAGTGAAAAATGTGATCGATTTAATGATAGCATTAAAAGAAACTACAATTATGAAAGAATTGTGGGGGTTGGTAAAAGTAATTTGCTAATTGAACGACATTCAAAATGTCATCTCTTGTAATGAGTAATTGTTTAAGGTATGGCAAAGTTAGAGATCTTCTTTCAAATACCTTAAATGTGGGGGAGTTTACCCAAGTGCTCAGTGTTAGCAAATTACTTAGTAATTAAGTCCTAATTTTGAGGACTTGACATTTCAAATAATGTCAAACAACTACTCTTGTATGAAATATAATTTCATAAGATGGATTGTGTACACCATCAAAGGTAGTCAACCTAATAGTGGATCCCATTATTAAAGGTTAGATTAGAGAGTAAGTTGATCATCGAGGGGAATGAGGCTAAAGCCAACATAACTAATGAATCAGCCGAGCGGAAACCTAACTTAGTTGATTGGAGATCCCATGGTCTAAGTTCAATAGGCAAACTGGTTGGGCATGATTCAAAGAAGTTAACACACTATATATACCTCATTCCTATGATGGAAGAAGTGTGTTGTCTGCAGACGTTTTAGGTTGTATATTTATACTTAATGACAGTGATATCTTATAAATAAGAGGAATAGAGCAGACTATTCTTAATCAGTGGTCACCTATGTGAGAGTAGAAGTTGGTCGCTTCTATGAGAATGAGATGGCTAAATTCTCTAAAGCTCTCATGAATCCGGGATTTGTTCAGGACCAAAATGAACACAACCGTATGAACCCTAATATATTAGAATAAGTGATGTGTGTTACTTATTGTCTCGGTTTACTACTGCGGTGAACAGTTCAAGATTTTATATTCACTGCGTCACCAAGTAAATCCGATAAGTATTCACTAGGGTAGGTTCAAGTCCAAAAGACACCTCTCCCGATGCATCTCTTGTCCGCCTGTACTCTCAAATTCTTCTTGATTTTTCATTCATGTGGGGGATTGTTGGAAATTATATATTATAGTATAAACTATTGTAATATATAATTTAATAATTGAATGAAAAATAGTGTTAACCAATTTCTTAGAAAGGTTATGTTGTTTAGATGTATTCCCTTGTTAAGTGATGTATACTTATAGATGAAAAGTTACATCTCTTTATTAGTTGAAGTTGGGTTCTATATAAACTCATGAAACCATTATCATTAAGATATAGAAAAATTAGAGTTAATTTTTACTCTTGAGAAAATAGGGTTTCCCCACTTTGTTTGTCTCATGCTTCGTGTGTCAAATTCCGAGTCGTGTCTTGAGAGTACGAAATATATAAAGTTCGCCAAAGTCCGAAGATTGAAGTGCTTTGACTTCGGATTATAGATTGTTGAATTCTGGGAGATGGACGCCTATCGAACTACAAGCACAAGAGTAGGGGCGAAATTCTATCTTTAAGACATTGCATTTATGCAAGCCTCAATCTCCAAGTTTGTCAGTTTTTCTATCTTTATCTCTAGTTGTTTATATTAATCTCATATATAATTGATGTTGTGAATTTCTTTATGATTATTATCATTGGAATTATATTGTTATTTTTCATATTTTCTAATATTGCTCCAACAGGTATTGGTGATCTTGTTCTTCACTCCAGCAGTCTCGTCTTCCGCCGACACGTTCAATATACCATTTGCATCAATGTCAAAGCAGACATTGATCTGAGGGACACCTCTTGGCGCCGGAGGAATGATACAACAGACAATACACCAATGGCGCTAGATTCTGGTTCCATGTAAGTACACATCTAGAGGATCCTCTTTGTAGGATGCTAAAGATCCTCATCGTACATCGTGCGGCCAATTTCTGTAGGTATTGTTTACCTTTAATTTAAATAAAAAAAATTAAAATGATTTATAACCTCATGATATACGATAAATTGATAGGATGTAAAAATCCAAATGGGATCCAAATCTTACATCTTAGTGCATTTTTTGGAGCAAATTACGTGGGTACCTCTTAAAACATTTGGCAGTGGAACCACCACAAATGAGTGGCTATGACAGACCACCATAAACCCTAAATCCTAATGAACATGTAGCAATCAAATGAAAGTGTTAGATAAGACTAAGCAACCATTGCACCAAACAACTAATCGAGCAATAAACATAATATGCCAGGAAAAGAAAGTTTACATCATTGTAAATCTAGGACATTAACAAAAACATTGTATATTTGTAGGCAATTATTCAAGCAGTCACAAACAGAGAAGAAATAACCAACTAAACCAAACACTTAATTTCAGTCAACTTCCTCAATCGTAGGCCCGGCTCCTGATCCGCCACCGGACGTAGTGTTTCCAAATCCGCTACCAGGCATCTGAGCACCACCGCCCATCGGCACGTTTCCGCCAGGACCCTGATACATTTTGGCAATGATCGGGTTGCACAATCCCTCCAACTCCTTTTGCTTGTCCTCAAATTCCTCCACCTCGGCCAACTGGTTCCGGTCTAGCCACTCGATTGCCTCGTCAATGGCCTTCTCAATCTTCTGCTTGTCTGCAGGGTCTAATTTTCCAGCAATCTGCTCATCCTTGATGGTGTTCCGCATGTTGTATGCGTAGTTCTCAAGCGAGTTCTTGGCATCCACCTTCTTCTTCACCTCCTCATCTTCAGCCTTGTACCTCTCTGCCTCCTGCACCATTCTCTCAATCTCTTCCTTGCTCAGTCTTCCCTTGTCGTTGGTAATAGTGATCTTATTCTTCACTCCAGCAGTCTTGTCTTCCGCCGACACATTCAAGATACCATTTGCATCAATGTCAAAGCAGACATTGATCTGAGGGACGCCTCTTGGCGCCGGAGGAATGCCCGTGAGTTCAAACTTGCCGAGGAGGTTGTTGTCCTTGGTTCTAGCCCTCTCTCCTTCATACACCTGAATTAACACTCCTGGCTGGTTGTCGGAGTAGGTAGAGAAGATCTGCTCCTTCTTGGTAGGAATGGTTGTGTTTCTCGGAATCAAGACGGTCATCACACCACCTGCAGTCTCAAGACCAAGGCTGAGAGGAGTGACATCAAGAAGCAACAGATCTTGGACCTTCTCATTTCCTTCGCCGGTTAAAATTGCAGCTTGAACAGCAGCACCATAAGCCACGGCTTCGTCAGGGTTTATGCTCTTGCACAATTCCTTGCCATTGAAGAAATCTTGCAAAAGCTGCTGAACTTTGGGAATTCTCGTCGACCCACCAACCAAAACAACCTCATCAACTCGACTCTTGTCGATTTTGGAATCCCTCAAACACTTTTCAACAGGTTCCATACACTTCCTGAACAAATCCATATTCATCTCTTCAAATCTCGCCCTAGTAATTGTAGAATAGAAATCAATACCTTCATAGAGCGAATCGATCTCAATGGTGGTCTGAGCGGTGGAAGACAAGGTCCTTTTCGCTCTCTCGCACGCAGTCCTCAACCTCCTCAAAGCTCTGGCATTGCTACTAATATCCTTCTTGTGCTTTCTCTTAAACTCTTGCACAAAGTGATTAACAAGCCTGTTGTCAAAATCCTCACCACCAAGATGAGTATCACCAGCAGTAGCCTTCACTTCGAAGATCCCTTCCTCAATTGTGAGCAAAGAAACATCAAAAGTCCCACCACCAAGATCGAAAATAAGAACATTCTTCTCGCCAGTACTGGATCCCTTCTTGTCAAGACCGTAAGCAATGGCAGCAGCAGTAGGCTCGTTGATAATCCTCATCACATTGAGCCCGGCAATGGAGCCAGCATCCTTTGTGGCCTGCCTCTGCGAGTCATTGAAGTAAGCAGGTACAGTGACCACAGCGTTGTTGCAAGGGTGACCCAAATAAGCCTCGGCAACCTCCCTCATCTTAGTCAGCACCATCGACGATATCTCTTCCGCCGCAAACTGCTTCTCTTCGCCTTTGTAATTTACCACAATCATCGGCTTGTCGCCAGGACCAGCAACGACCTTGAAAGGCCAGTGCTTCATGTCGCTCTGGACAGAAGGGTCGGAGAACCGCCTGCCGATGAGTCTCTTGGCGTCAAAAACGGTGTTTTGGGGGTTCATAGCGACCTGGTTCTTGGCTGCATCGCCGATCAAACGCTCCGTGTCGGTGAAGGCGACATAGGAAGGGGTGGTCCTGTTTCCCTGGTCATTGGCTATGATCTCAACGCGGTCGTTCTGCCACACCCCGACGCAGCTGTAGGTGGTGCCGAGGTCGATGCCGATAGCCTTGCCTTGCGTCTTTGCAGCCATGGACAACAAATCAGTGCGAAACTATTGAATAACTGGTTCGAGAAAACAACGAAAAAAGAAGCAAAATCTGGTTGCTCTGGAAATTTGAATTTTGTGGTTGTCTGGAATGCTTTTGGTTTGAGTGTGAAGCGGGGTTTGGGGGTTCAAATTTATATGGGTGAGTAGGGTTCGTGGAGAGCTTCATGGGAGAGGAAGAGAAGGTGGTGGAAGGGACTGGGAGGTTGTGAGAAAAATCAGTGGGAGATGTCGAACGGTTCTGGAGAGTTCTGGAGAACACTCGAACCGTCGAAGGTCATACCAGAGAGTTCTGGAGAGTGGTTGAACTCTGAGTTGGCTTGTTTGCTTTTTCCACATATGTATGATCCAATTAAAGTAAAACACGCAGCTAGTTCTGTTTTGAATGGTAACGTTGGATTTTGTCTTCTTGTGGTCTGAAAGCGAGAGAAGGGGGATTTGAAAAGGGATCTTTTGATAAGGGTGTGCCCTTTTTACCTCTCACATATTTCTTGTTTATTTTTGTCTGTTGATCTTCTTCAATTCATCTGATTCGATAGTCGAAAACTAAAAATATGTAAGAGAAGTAAAAAGGAGTGTATGGATATCACACCCTTTTGATATGGATTAAAGTAACAAAAAATTAAACCTATTTCAAAAATTAAAAATCACTAAAAATTAAATCTATTTCAAAAGTAGGCTTATAAAATTAAACCTATTTCAAATTTTTCCATTTGAAAAATTGCTCTGCGATGTCTCCTTTAATTCTTTAACAAGCAGGTGTACCTGCGCGGTGTTGAGGGTTTGAAAAATATTGAAGGTGTAAAAAGTTCTGAAAATATATGTGCTTAAGAGTAGATTGTATATAGGTACATTACATCCTCAAATAATGACCTCAAAAATGCTCTCCGAGGACGACCTCGGAGTCATCTTGACACAACACTCTTCCAGGCGTCAATATGCTCAGCTTCAAAACAAAAAAAATTAAATTAATCACAAAATTAAATTGTTTTAGAAACATAAACTTAAGAACACAAAAAATCAAAACATTTCGAAAGCACATATTCTTAATCATATATCAAAATTAAATTCAACCTTTTTTATCATTTTCGCCAAAGATCAAACTTTTTTTATGAACATTTCTTTCTCCTTTGATTATCATGGGACAATGAATCCTTTCTTTTGAATAAATAGAATCAAATGGATTGATATTAGTACGACATGACCTATTAACAAAGATTCATTTCAATACATTGAACATTTCTTTTAAGGATATACGAAGTATGAGATTTCAGTAAATTGATTCTTTTGAAATCTTTAATCCATTTTGATCCCCGCCCACTCATTCTTTCTTTATTTCTTTACTTTTTGCAGAGATATTTGTTTCTTAATTAAGCTAATATTGCTGCAGCCCAAACATGACTCTCTGAATCCAATTCCTAGAATTAGTTTTGTGTAGAAAATACAGCCTAGTAGAGTGAGGGGGTACTTTATAATGAAGAAATTTTTCATTGTGTTCGAAACACGAGTAATATACCACTTGTCTTTATATAAGCAGAGAAAAGTTTTATTTTTTAAGTTGTCAATTTTTTAACACAAGTATCTCACAACTTGTACAGTGACACCTATCTCTCCTCCGAAGGAAGTGTTTTCCTCCATTAATCTCCACTCCTACTAACTCAACAAAATATATATATATATATATATATATATATATATTTACTCTATGTCCTCAAATCCATAATTTGACTTTGAAAAAGCTTAATTACATTTTAACTTCTTAAAATTTTACTGGTGTCTCACTTAATTCCTTAAAAGTCAAATTATCACTTAACCTCTTGAATCTCAACTCATCAATGTTGATGCTGAGAAACAAGTGGCGATCTAAAATGTACAAGAAATTGGTGGTACAAAAAACAGAGGTATTTTGGAATACCTCATTTGGTGCAGAAAGGTCCTTGTCGTTGTTACATACACATTCATCCCCACCAAGCTTCGAACCCTATCCTTGTAGGTACCACCCATGCAAAAGCACTTAACCACAAGGCTAGGAAGAAGCATGGTGCCTACTCTTGAAAAACAAACAATTTATTATAATCGAACATACTTGAATTGGATTTGGAATAGAGTGGTGCTATTAACACAATCATTTTTACATCTCACACATGCCTTGTTAATTTTGTTATTTGATTCTCTTCAATTTATTTGATGATGTGAACTTCCGACAATGGTAGGTGACTAAGGGACTAGAATGGTCTCTGCGCCATCCTGCCTTTTTTTTCTTCTTGCTACTACAAGAGATGTCGATGTTGCATATTAGTCTCATACCCTTAAAATTTAAGTGTTTCCTCAATCCAAACGCTTTCTGTTCCAAGCAACGCCTCATTTTTCTCTCCATCTCTTTTACTACAGTGCAATCTTCACTTGCCTTCCTCTTATTCTATCAACTTTTCTTTGGCTTTAACTTATATATTTATTTTTTAATTTTGATTACTCTTTACCTCATATTTGAGATTGTGTAATGTTTTTAGTTTTCTCTATTGAATTTAGGGTCTTTCAATTTTTATACAAATTACTCCAATCTTGCATATTATGAGTTCAAATTACCTATGTATATGAAAGGTTCTTCCACACATAAAATTTTCTAGAACTCCGCCACTAACTGTCGATATATCGTTAACTTTCTACTATACAATACACGGTATGGTGTCGACTGTAAATACACGGTATGTTGTCGACTGTTGAGTGATTGGGTCTCCCGCTCCACAACAATGGAGCTAAAGCTAATGGTCAATGGATGGAGGAGTTAACACACTGAAACAATATACAAGCTATAAATGAACCATGTACAGAAACAATACACAAGCTATAAAGTTAATTTATACTATTCTTAAGAATTTAAAGTTTGTCAATCTCTTTTGAAATAACTAAGGGTGCAACTCGGACGAGTTGGATGGTCAACCCAATTCTAATCTATTCTTTTATAATTCGGGTTGGGGTTGGGTTTCATCCAGATTTAGTAGGGTTTGGATTTTAATTGAGTCCGGATATTCTAGATGGGTTCAGATTCGTCAACCTTATCAAGTCCAATCGTATAACACTTTGTTTTGCATGATTTTTCAAGTTTTGAACCATACAACGTCAATATTAGTTAAAATTTCATTTACACATCATCATCCGCACAAAAATTAAAACAAACAACTTGGAGATTCTTTCTAATGTTTCAACCATGCAAATTTGAAATTAAACAGAAGGCGTACACCAAAGAGTCAATCAAAGAAATATAAAAGTAACACTATAATTCATTATCCATATGACGACGGACTATAAAGAAGTATAGTCATTCCAAAACTTATACATAACTCATATAATATGCAGTGGGATGGTTATATGTGCATGGGTAAATTCGAGCTCAAAATCGGGTTGTGTTTGGGTTGACTTGGGCGGGTAAGATATCAAATCAACTCAACCTAATAAATGATCAGGTTGATGGAGGGTTTTTCCTTTATTCTAACCCGCCCCATCGGTTTTAGAAATCAAGTTGAGCATGAGTGGATTTAGGTTGACCCAACCTAAGTTGCACTCCTAAAAATCATCCATATTTTTCCTTTTGCTGTCATTACTTGCACTAAACAACATTTACATAAAAAAAAAATTAAAAAAAAGAGATAAACTAATAATTTTAATTGATAGTGGGTATTAAAATTAAATAAAATTAATCCTTCATTGGTTATTTTAGCAGGTCGGGTTTGAGTTTGGATCTTTCAACCCGTTACCTTAACGATATGACACAACACATGTTAACACGAGTACAATAAATACGACCTATTTACCAAATAAACCATCAACCCTCGGGTGGTCCAAAGGAAGTTCCGGCTGGGTATAGGTTTTCTCAAATTTTGAATTGTTCAAAAAAAAAAAAAGTTTTATATTCACAAATCACAGGGTAAAAGAAAAATTAGAACTAACAAAAATTGGTGCTACGAGCACTAAATTTGTGCACCAAAGAATGCGTACATTCTTAATATATATAATTAAAATAAAATAAAATAAAACAGACCAGCTGATGACTTTAAGACGCAGTCCATTTTTTTTAGAGCCGGAAGACTCACAAAGACATCGAACCCAGAACGTGCCTTGTAGAATATTTGCCTAAACTTCGTCCTCAACCATTTGACCACCCCATGATACATTAAATTCTAATATGAATTAATTATAAAATTAATTGGTGGCACATTATTTGATCAACATATTACGTATACATAAAAATAATTAAAAAAAAAAAAAAAAAAAAAACGATGATGCACAATCAGCTAATTAGCCCAAACGTGTTGATTAGCCCAATTCCCACTCCCTCCCAAACCCAAATCCAAATGTAGGAAGTTGGACACACTGGTTCAATGTTTCCAGATCTCTCTGGTTCCTTCCTTCTTCCCTCTTTTCTTCTTCTATACTTCTACATACCTCTCGAAATTTCTTGCCCTCCTCCTTCGTACCAGACACCCAATGGCTGTATATATGCATTGCCATGGTCTCCCAGGCAGACCATCAGGCAAACAACAACAGAAAAGCTCACTTCACCCACTCAACAACCCTAATCCTTCTTTTAAAATTTTTCGTGATTTCTTCTTTTCTTATTCATGGCTTCAAAGACGCAAGGCAAGGCCATCGGCATCGACCTCGGCACCACCTACAGCTGCGTCGGGGTGTGGCAGAACGACCGCGTTGAGATCATAGTCAATGACCAGGGCAACAGAACCACCCCTTCCTATGTCGCCTTCACCGACACCGAGCGTTTGATCGGCGACGCAGCCAAGAACCAGGTCGCCATGAACCCCCAAAACACCGTTTTCGACGCCAAGAGACTCATCGGCAGGCGGTTCTCCGACCCTTCTGTCCAGAGCGACATGAAGCACTGGCCTTTCAAGGTCGTTTCTGGTCCCGGCGACAAGCCCATGATTGTGGTAAATTACAAAGGCGAAGAGAAGCAGTTTGCGGCGGAAGAGATATCGTCGATGGTGCTGACTAAGATGAGGGAGATTGCCGAGGCTTATTTGGGTCACCCTTGCAACAACGCTGTGGTCACTGTACCTGCTTACTTCAATGACTCACAGAGGCAGGCCACAAAGGATGCTGGCTCCATTGCCGGGCTCAATGTGATGAGGATTATCAACGAGCCTACTGCTGCTGCTATTGCTTACGGTCTTGACAAGAAGGGATCCAGTACTGGCGAGAAGAATGTTCTTATTTTCGATCTTGGTGGTGGGACTTTTGATGTTTCTTTGCTCACAATTGAGGAAGGCATCTTCGAAGTGAAGGCTACTGCTGGCGATACTCATCTTGGTGGTGAGGATTTTGACAACAGGCTTGTTAATCACTTTGTGCAAGAGTTTAAGAGAAAGCACAAGAAGGATATTAGTAGCAATGCCAGAGCTTTGAGGAGGTTGAGGACTGCATGCGAGAGGGCGAAAAGGACTCTGTCTTCCACCGCTCAGACTACCATTGAGATCGATTCGCTCTACGAAGGTATTGATTTCTATTCTACAATTACTAGGGCGAGATTTGAAGAGATGAATATGGATTTGTTTAGGAAGTGTATGGAACCTGTTGAGAAGTGTTTGAGGGATTCCAAAATCGACAAGAGTCGGGTTGATGAGGTTGTTTTGGTTGGTGGGTCGACGAGAATTCCCAAAGTTCAGCAGCTTTTGCAAGATTTCTTCAATGGCAAGGAATTGTGCAAGAGCATAAACCCTGACGAAGCCGTGGCTTATGGTGCTGCTGTTCAAGCTGCAATTTTAACCGGCGAAGGAAATGAGAAGGTCCAAGATCTGTTGCTTCTTGATGTCACTCCTCTCAGCCTCGGTCTTGAGACTGCAGGTGGTGTCATGACCGTCTTGATTCCGAGAAATACCACCATTCCTACCAAGAAGGAGCAGATCTTCTCTACCTACTCCGACAATCAGCCAGGAGTGTTAATTCAGGTGTATGAAGGAGAAAGGGCTAGATCCAAGGACAACAACCTCCTCGGCAAGTTTGAACTCACGGGCATTCCTCCGGCGCCAAGAGGCGTCCCTCAGATCAATGTCTGCTTTGACATTGATGCAAATGGTATCTTGAATGTGTCGGCGGAGGACAAGACTGCTGGAGTGAAGAACAAGATCACTATTACCAACGACAAGGGAAGACTGAACAAGGAAGAGATTGAGCGAATGGTGCAGGAGGCAGAGAGGTACAAGGCTGAAGATGAGGAGGTGAAGAAGAAGGTGGATGCCAAGAACTCGCTTGAGAACTACGCATACAACATGCGGAACACCATCAAAGATGAGCAGATTGCTGGAAAATTAGACCCTGCAGACAAGCAGAAGATTGAGAAGGCCATTGACGAGGCAATCGAGTGGCTAGACCGGAACCAGTTGGCCGAGGTGGAGGAATTTGAGGACAAGCAAAAGGAGTTGGAGGGATTGTGCAACCCGATCATTGCCAAAATGTATCAGCGTCCTGGCGGAAACGTGCCAATGGGCGGTGGTGCTCAGATGCCCGGTAGCGGATTTGGAAACACTACGTCCGGTGGCGGATCAGGAGCCGGGCCTACGATTGAGGAAGTTGACTGAAATTAAGGGTTTAGTTTAGTTGGTTTTTTCTTCTCTGTTTGTGACTCTGCTTGAATAATTGTCTACAAATATACAATGTTTTTGTTAATGTCCTAGATTTACAATGATGTAAACATTCTTTTCCTGGCATATTATGTTTATTGCTCGATTAGTTGTGTGGTGCAATGGTTCCTTGGTCTCATCTAACACTTTCATTTGTTGTGGTTCCACTGCCAAATGTTTTAAGGGGTACCCACGTAATTTGCTCCATCATAAAATGCACTAAGATGTGGGAATAGGATCCCATCCAAAGAGAATCTTAGGGACTCACAACCTATTTGTTAATCTTACATCATGCGGTTAGAAATTATTTGGACTCTTTTATTTAAATTTAAACATAACAACATCTAACGAAAGCTGATCGAATGATGCACGATGAATTAATAGAATGTGAGAATCTTTAGCATCCTCACAAAAGAGGATCCGGAGAGGGTCCTCATGCCTAAGATGTGTAGTTGCTTAAATCGAACCAGAATGTAGTGCCAATGGTGTATCGTCTGTTCTATCATTCCACAAGTGAGATGGTGGAAGCCACTCCAAACAGTATATTCTCGGGGAGATGATATGATTGTGGAAATGGCCGCACTCACACACTTTTTAGTTGACGTTTGACAATGAGTGAACATAAACCTTCAGGACTTAAAGCCTTCACACATTTTATCAAATATGTTGACAATCCGTAAGTTGTGTGATGGCGAGGAGTGGGCGTAGGAAACTCGGTTGGAGGCCGAGTCACTGAGCACAATCATGTATTCCTTCCTTATCATTGTGTTTTTGATTGCTTCCTCTCTCCACGGTTTTCACAAACTGTTCATGATGTTATGCATTATCTCCCTAATATTACAACATTTGTATGCATTAGAGCTGCACTTTGCTTCTTAATCATCACGTCTTCAAGACGAGATGATGATTAGTGGGTCAGTCCTGCAAGAGAAAGGACTAAACTTGACTAACCCTAAATTATGTTAGATCAAATCAAATGTCAAGTGTATAATATATAACAATTGCACAGTTTATCTTGAATAGAAATTTCACGATATATCTTATAATATGAACAATTTAATGAATTTGAATAACAAATCACAAAAAACACACTGACTTGTTTTCGGAAGATAGAGGCTTGCAGAGCAATCTCCTAAGACAGAAATACGCCCCTACACCAGTGCAGTAGTTCAAAGGACGTCTATCTGGCAGGATACAACTATCTAATCCAAGTTCTTGCACACGAACTTGGATTCTAGGCGAATTTGTTGTGATGGTTCTCTGTAAAGTATAAAAGGAATTGATGGAAAATTATCTCTTGTTTCTGATCTGATGGCCATATTTATAATGGCGTAGTGGAGCAGTTGAAACCGTTTTTAGAATGGTTGTAACTATTCGTCATCAGTTTTATCCTTTTGAAAAATTGAATGCAAAAATCAAAAACGTAAAAATTTAAACTTATGTTTTCGTCAATCCAAGCCTGATGCCCATCTTTGAATATAGTATATATACCCAAACCTCTATTTGTAAAGCCCAAGGTCCATAACTTTAGCTTAATTCTTTTCAAAACATAAAGGAGGAAAAAAACTTATAAAATGGACTTCCACCATGTGTTTGGGCGATGTGGGACTAAGTCCCACTCACAAGTTCCAACAAATTAGTGGTGCAGTACGGGAAATGAAAGATGCATTTGGCATGGAGCACAATAATAAATGATTGGAAGATGAATTTATGTGCTGGAATAAAGAGCATTTTAATACATAATGGCTCATCAGATTAATTCCAAGGCGTTTTTGGCTAATCGTAGCAGCTAGGACGTTTTTATGGCTGATCATAATCCTTTCTTTATGTAATTTTCAGTTTTAGTGTTTTTAAGTTTATTGCCCTTTTAAATTCTGAATGTATGTTACAAATTTGATATAAAACCAATTTCTTGCTGGAAGGTGGGGAGGTGGGACATTTTTTGTTGATAAATGAAATATTCAAAGAGATTTCTATCTTATATTTGTGCCTTTCTCTTGTTTAAGAGTATGCAGCTTTGTTCTTTCTAGTGTCTACGTCATAAACTGGTCCTAAGTTTATAGGGTTTTTAGGTCTCTTGAAGATAGTGGACTCTGCCTTTCGTTTTCATTTTAATCATATTTATCAGTCCATATCACTTTATTTTGTTTCTACCCACTGCGCCCTGCATCAATTATTAGCATCTGTCTATTTGTTTTTATTTTTCTGCTCTATGTAAAACATATTTAGGAAATAATTGTAAGAAAATTGCATGGTGCCAATGTTGCAGAAGCTTTTGAATCCAACTGTGATCATTGTTCTTACTGTTGATCGATAAGAATGTAAGAGATTCTATGCTGATTGCAAGACAAGTTTGACATAGAGCTAGAAACAGAAAGAAAGCATTTCGTTAAAAAAATATACGGGATCCGAGATGCTAGTCACCGTCTAGGGTAGAAGAAGAAATTCCGAGTGAAGGGGCAAATGTTGCAGTAGTATCCCCACAGAGATATCTCTTCAGTCGATCCAAGTCATCCGCAGCATCGAGCATTGTCGGCCTAGTGGAGGGGGACTCCTGCGTGCAGAGGATTCCCAACTCTATCAACTCTCCAATTGCAACATCCCACATCTTTCTCACCTCGGCGGATTGATCTCTAGAAGCTCTCATTAGGGAGAAGTCAACCACTTTTTCAACCCTTCCATGACAATGGTTCTTAACCCACCTGTGCAGGTTTAGCCCTCCAACAAACATGTCATCTGTTGGCCTTTTTCTTGTCACCATCTCTAGAACCAGAACGCCGAAGCTGTAAACATCACCTTTTGTAGATGCATTAGAACCATACCCGTATTCTGCACAAAGAATCGAGCGTGTGTTAGGCCTTATTCTAAGTTATTGAACAAATAATTGAGTTCTATCATCGCCGGTCTTTAAAAATGGCTTCAAATAGAGAAATTGGGGAATTGTTTTCATTTTTTCTGAAGAACGAATGATCTTTGTTACCATGCTTAGATTTATGTGTTCAGAAATGCTTGAAGTTCCAATTACTGAGAATCTAGTTATGAACAAAACTCGTATTCTATCTGTTTGGCTTTGCGAATGGCTAGCTTAAGCAGAGGATAGATCGTTACCTGGTGCTATGTATCCAATGGATCCGAATAACATATTTGCAGTAGAGTTTCCCATGTTCTCAAGAGCTGAATTTCCACCTCCAGCTATCAGCAATCTTGCGATCCCAAAATCGGAAACTAAAGCTGTCATGTCATTGTTGAGAAGAACATTGCTCGGTTTTAGATCACAGTGTATAACTTTGACTGGAGAGTGGTGATGTAGATATGCCATCCCTTCAGCTATGTCACTGCAAATGTTCACCCTTTGGATCAGGCTCAAATCAGAAGAACCTGAACGCAGACCTGTCTTCGAATGTTGATAGAGACAGCTTTCTAAGCTACCGTTTGCCATATAAGGAAGAACAATGGCCTTAAAGTCCGGTAGACTGCATGCTGTTATAATCCTTATAAGGTTTCTGTGCCTAATTCTCCTCAAGACCTGGCACTCTCTGGTAAAACTCTTTGTTGAATTTCCAGATTGCAACTGTAAGACCTTGACTGCTATTGTTGTCCCATTTGGAAGAACTCCCCTGTACACGCGTCCATAGCTGCCAGTTCCAATCAGTCTCTGATCATCAAATCCGTTAGTGGCATCCGACAGATCTCGATATGTGACTCTTGGGAAACTGTGAACCAATTCTGGTTGTGTTGGTTTTCTTGCTGTCGCAGTCCTCTGAGCTGAGATTAGTGCCTGAATGTGCCAGATTGCAATCACAGAGCATAGTATTGATAGGGATGTTGAAATGAATATGACTAAGCTGAATAGGATTAAGAAAATGTGCGATCGAAACGGATGCATTTTGTGGGGGCAAGCAGGTCTGAAGGAAACAGTACCACAAAGGTGCTGATTGCCCAAGAAAGATGTATATGATACAGCTTCAAAGATGCCACCAGAGGGAATCATTCCTTCAAAGTTATTGAAGGAAAGATTTAGATATGTAAGCGTTCGGCTGTTGTTGAGGCTTAGTGGAATATTTCCAGAGAAGCGGTTTCCTGAAATATCAAGGGACTCAAGATTCTTCAGCTCACCTATGGAATCTGGAAGTTTCCCCTCCAAAGAATTGTGTGAAAAGTTAATCAGGGTCAATGCAATACAACTTGATATCTGTGGGAAGATACTTCCACTTAGGTTGTTCGATGAAAGATCCATCTCTTGAACATCTTCCAGTTTGCTGAGTTCAATCGGTATAGGTCCTTCGAGTTGATTGTGTGAGAGGTTTATAAAAATTCTGATCTCACTCAAACCCAATAATTGTGGGGGGATGCTGCCTGTCAATCTGTTGTATGATAAATCAAGCTTGTACAGTTGTATGCAGTGTCCTAATGTTGGAGGTATTGATCCGGAAAGGAGGTTGTTGTTGAGGAACAGATAATTCAGGCTGACCAAATTTCCTATACTGCTTGGAATATCACCGGAGAATGAGTTATCAGAGAGATCAAGCAGGCCGAGGTGAGTCATCTGACCCAATGCAGCTGGAATTGCGCCGGTGAACAGGTTGTGTGATAAGAAAAGCTGTTCCAAATTTGACAGCTGACTGATGTTTGCTGAGATTGTTCCATTCAGACGATTGGATGTCAAATTCAGGACCACAAGCTTAGAAAGATTACCTATATTCGGAGGAATTGATCCAAATATCTGGTTTTCTTGCAGAAAAAGATTCGTAAAATTGATACCAAGTCCACCGATGGAACTGGGCAATATTCCTCCGAGGCCCATACCAGCCAGCTCAAGCTCCTCTAGAGAAGTGCAATTTGTGATGGCAGAGAAAAATTGGTCAAGATTGGTGTTGCCATCGTGGCTTACCATATCATTGTTAGATAAATGAAGATAGAGAATATTTGGCAACTTCTGTACAAACTTGATGGGCAACTCTCCAGAAAGATGGTTATATTCGACATCTAAGTTGACCAGTGAGCTATTGGTCAGAAAGAGAGGAAGTTCTCCAGTGAACTGATTGTTGTATAAATTGAGGCTCCATAGTTTTGGACAATTTCCAATCTCTATCGGAATTTTTCCGGAAAGAAGGTTGTTGGAAAGGTCTAAAACCGCTAACATACTGCAGTTGGAGAAGAGTGTAGGTGGAATGGCGCCGGTTAAATTATTTTGCAATAGACTAACTGTAGTGAGGTCTGAAGGAAGGGCTAAGGAATCTGGTACTGAACCATGAAAGTTGTTCCCCTCTAGCAGTAGACGATGGAGGCGCCTGAGTGAGCCAATTTCAGCAGGGATAGTTCCATAGAAGTGATTTCCAACTAGCACCAGGTTACGGAGGCCTGTAAGATTTGAAATGAATGGGGAAAGCCTCCCTGCAAGTGCATAATCCTTCAGAATGAGATCTGATACGCGATAATGCTGTGTGTTGCAGCTGACACCCGTGAAGTTGCAGCTGACATCCGTGAAGTTGCAGCTGACACCCGTGAACTTGCAGACATCAGCAGCTTCCTTCCAATTAGCCAGCTTGGAATACGGATCATATACAATGGCCTTCTTGAACTCCAGCAGAGCAGCCTTGTCTGCAATCAAAGAGTGATGAGGACTCTGGAGATGACCAATAACTGCATTACTAGATGCCGAGACCAAATGCTGGATTAGAAGAAAAAACATGGTTTCGACGAAAGCCATACTTGATAAACTGAAAGAGCCTAAGAAAAATATTTGTTTGTGAGATTCCCTTCGCTTCAACTTTCATCGTGCTTCGTTCTCATATCATTCAACAGTGGTAAATGATTTGTGGTAGTAAAAGAGAGACTGGAGAGAAGGTGGAAAGTGATATTTTCGGAATAAGAAGTCAATCAAGGCTATGATTTTGCTGAAGAACCGAGGAAACTCTAGTATCTTTGGATGCAAACGCTGAAAGCATAATCGAGAGGAGAGAGGGAAAGGAGTTGACATTTTATAAGTTGTCTATCTCTAATGCACTGTCAAGTTTAGTTGCAAGTAACGATGGACAAATACTCATCGGTTATGAGTAACTGCAATTATCTATCTATTTAAATTTTACTGTTACGATTATAGGTAACCGTTTAGATAAATAAACGGTTATAGGTATAACCGTTTACTCGCAAAATTTCAATGGGCGGTTATGGGTGTGAACTGCGGTTATAAACGGATTACCGTTTACCTATTTATCTTATATATGTAAAATTAACACAAACCATGTTCCCTATTGGACAAAACTTTGATCAATGCTATTGACTATAGTGCATGATTTATGTAGCTAATATAATATAGTTTTCCTTAACCACTTTTAATTTCATGGTCCATTATATATATTATGTTAATACTTTACATTCCGAGTTAAATAACCTAAGAATACTTTATTTTAACAGTTTTCGTAAGAATACTTAGCAATTATTGTTAACAGTTAAAAATATTGTCCGTAAACTATTATTTCAATTATTGAAATGGTATAAGGACTTAAAAAAATTAAAATGCGAAAATGTATGATGAATGTACTTATAACAGTGTTTAATTGTTAGAAAAAGAAAATTATCACAAATTTTTATTTTTTAATTTTCAAGTTGTTAAAAAATACGTAGACGGATAAAAAGGAGTAATGGTAAAAAAGAAAGGATAAACGGGTTAAAAAATGATAAATGGGTAAACGGGTATTAAACGGTTACAATTAAATAGGTACACAGTTATGGGCATGGTTAACCATTTATAAACAGTTATGGATATGGGTATAACCGTTTAGGCAATTACCTAACTGGTAAACGATTATACAGATATGAAAATAAACGATTATGGATATATAACCGTGGTTATCTATCCGTCATAACCATTGCCTACCCTGTGTGAGGGCACTGGAAACTTGAATGATGACAGCATTCCACTCAAGTCTGTACTCTCTCTCTCTCTCTCTCTCTCTCTCTCTCTCTCTCTCTCCAGATGGATGTTCTTTTTACAAAGGCATGCATGCTTATTTAGGATCCACCATTAATATCAGCACAGTGAGCTAAGAGGCCCCAGTTTTGTTATATGAATTTGGACTAAGCGCACTCAAATTTATTTCTTACTCCAAAAAAACAAAAAAACATGCTGAGTTTTTATTTATTTATTAGATTTTAGTACTCAATGCAGAAAAACTATACTTCCATTGCTTAGTTTTTTAATTTAATTAGACGAGCAATTGTATAATATTTTGGTGTGTAAGGTTTAACGAGGCAACCGATATTGATATATGGAACACCTAAAGAGGAGTGTTGTGAAATGAGTGGGAATATCTCTATAAAACAAGCACATATAATGGAAAAATGAAAGTCAAAATTGTACAGTTGAATAGTAGAAGTTTGGTTTTTAGTATTTTGGCGTGTAAGTTTTCTTGGTACGTTAAAAGGATGTGTCGGGTAAAAACCTCTCTATGTAGAGGTATGCTTGTATGATGCTAGTACAACGCACAAAATCAAAAGCAGAAAGTGATATACCATATTGTACGGGGTAATCGATAGCATGACAGAAAATACCTGATCAAACATTATAGTGACGTCCCTGTAATCGCCATAATCACAAAACTTGAAATCCTAAACTACAGAAAATGACTTAATTAAACATTAAAATCGAATCATGAATCATGATTTATATTTTGCATCCACCAAATCATGTTTTAAACAAGTGGATGTGTTACGTGTAATTAGGATCAAGACCAACCAAATGCTAGGCGTCCCTCGCTGCGATGTGATCCCGCAAACCCAAACAAAAGGTAGCAACTGAGAACTAAATGGGCAGAAGGAGATATTAATCATTCCTTAATCAATGTTTCTTGTATATTCCAACTTGTCCAACTAAAGTACCTTTTGCATGCACGAAATATGTGTTATAGCTTTGCAATACCACAATGATTAATGCCATCTAATTATTGACCAAAAGAATTAGAAAGTAGTTAAACATACTAAGCAATGTTGTTTTTTATCATCAAATCTCAGTGATTAATTTCAAAATGATGGTCAAGGGTGCAACTATATTTGCGTCTATTCTGAAGTCTAAGAACTTGTCTTATCTACAAAATGTTATCATGATCTAGTTTTCTGAAAGTGTGTAAAATTAACTTGGATTGTTGAACAAAAGGTTTAGCACCTAACCAAACGGGTGTAATTAAGTAAAAAATTCAGTAAAAAAAAAAAATACCAGACAGTAGAAGTTGGTCCAAAAGGCCAGTTAGATACGTCCAAAATGACAAGGAGAAGGCCGCTATCATGCTCTAATCCCGAGATACGTCCAGAATCAACATGTGCCGTCCGCGCCGTATTGAAACAGCCACATAAAATCAAGCTAAATTCATTACTTCAATAAAATACATACACAAAGCACATCAACAAGACCAATTGTCCCACAAAGCGAAGTACCGAAAACACCAATAATTGAGCAATGGAACATCCTTTCATATATTGTATGGCTACATCTAACCCTTGTGTTAGACTGTCTGCCTACGTACCTTAAGACGGGATCAAGCCATTCGTAGATCATCATTTTGTTAAGCTCCGAAATTTCTCATGGCATTAATTGGCTAGAAACATAGGGTTACATATAACTCCCAATATGAGTGATGCACCAACATGTCATTACATCATTCACATATATCACAATTGTTTCCTAACCAAGATGCACAATTAACTTTAACCACATTGATCAACTGATCAGATCAAATATTATTTCGCGAAATTTACTAAAGCAAGTCTCCGTATTTCCCTCTTATATTCTAAGCAATAACATGGTAATTCCAATAACAAACACAAGAGTACACCTTAAGCAACTTCCATTCACAACAATCTAGGGTTCTAAATAAACTCAAAGGAACCGAAAGGAAGTGAGATTCTGCACCAAATCAACATAATTCAGACGAATAAGGGTTTTAGACCAACAAAATGGAACCAAATAAGAAATGGGATTCCGAACAACCTTAACAAAATCAAGACGAAGGAGTGTTCGGACCAATCAACAGAAATGAATAAGAAACGAGATTCCGGACCAAGTCAACACAATCCATACACAAAGGAAGGGTTTAGCCACTAAAAGGAACCGAATAGGAAATGGGATTCCCAACCAACTCAACAAAATCCAGACGGATGAAGGTTTTAGACCAACTCTATGAAATCCCGTTCCTGGATTTCACTGTTATAATTTACGTATTTGTATTATTAAGATTTTATATTATTTTCGAGAATTTATTTTAATTTGTTTGAATTTAGATTTTTTATTAAACTAGTTACGAAAAGTGAAGTTCGAAATTATTTATTTAAAACTCGTAGGCATTTCGAGGTCACAATTTATATCTTTGGATCGAGCTCGATTGATGTGATATAAACTAGCACTCAAACTTAACCCTCTTTTTGACAATTGTAGTATGGATAAGTAAGGATCGTTCTTGGCCGAGGATTAGTTAGGGATGCTAATCAACACAAATTAAACTTAAAAACTGAAAACTAGACTCAAACAACTCAAAACAAGCTAAACTGACTCAAATAACACAAAACTAAGTTAAATTGACTCAAAACAAGAACTAGAGGGTGATTTGGACGAAAATTAAACTAAAAAGACTCAAAACAATGAAAAGAAACCAAATTGACATATTCTAACCTAAAGACACGAAATATAAAGGGGAGTTGGTTTTTGACGAATTTAAGACTAAAACTAAACAGATTTAAGACTCTAAATAACTTTGGACGAAATTGGTGATTTAATGGGTGAATGGCTAGTTAGAGGGTTCTTCTCCACACATGACACATATGCATACAAATCGATCTCCAGTTATTCTTCCTATAAACCATGAATGACAATGCACCAAATTAATCGTGAGAAGCACAAATTAATTTTCAGATTTTCCTAAATTCATTGAATTGGACTTAGCGACGCAACCAAATTATTCTTATCATGTTCCCTACATGAACAGCATAATAGAGATACATATCAAATATCATTAAGTTCTATGAAAATCATAAGCATTGACAAGACATTCATAACTATGAACTGCATGATACTCCTGCCAAGAATTCACTTAACATAATCATGACTAGTGACTTTTACTACTTGTGAATATAAGTTCATAACGATTAGGTGAAATTCCCTTATATCCTAGCATCAAATTCATGCATGCAAACTAAGTAGGCCTCATTAATCAACACACAAGAACAAGTTATCAATCAAACAGATAAGTAAATTGCATTCACGATTTATGAAATCATATTGGATGTAATCAAATCATATCACATATATGTTCATGGCTTTGAATTCACCTCTAACTAAAACGAAATTAGTTCCATATGTTCATCATAATTGAAAACCAAATTAAACTAAACATTGAACTAAAACTAAGGATAGTAAGATCCCAGAAACGCTCCAGCATTCCATTGGCAGATTTGGCACAATCCTTGGCTGCAGGGGCACGACACAAGTCCTTCTTCTCCTTGCAAGCATGGCACAAGCCTCTAAAAACCCTTAGAAACCTGCGACACTCTTTTATTTTTCTGATTTTTAGGCTCTTATGTGTGTGTTCCGAAATTATGGTCAGAGATATGTATTTATAGGCTAGGGTTTCGGCACAAAGGTTGTGGAGGAGAAAGATTACACAATCCTAGGGGAAAAAGACTAGGGAATTCGGCACAAAGCTTTTAGAAAGGGGTGTTCTGGCATATTTCTAGAAGCTAAAGGATAAGAGGGTGCGGCACCAATGTAGGCAGAGGATAGGGCTTCTAGAATTAGGTATTTAGGTGATTTAATGTGAAATTGATTCCCTCTTGCAGATGGAATTAGGTACGATAAGATTATGAT